TATCTATCTAATTCCCTCTTGAAAGTTAACATGATTTGTGCCTTGACCACTGCACCCTTTCACATCTGAACAACTCATAGAATCATAGAATCGTACAGCACAAAAAGAGGCCCTTTGGCCCATCGAGTTTGTGCCGGCTCTTTGAGAAGAGAAATGTAATGTCAATCCCACTCCCCAGCCCTTTCCCCATAACCCTGCAGACCTGTCCTCCTCAAATACCCGTCCACCGCGTTTTTAAAAGTAGTTATCGAATCGGCTTCGACCACCCTTTCAGGCAATGACTTCCAGATTCGAACAACTCGCTGCGTGACAAAATTTCTTCTCACCTCCCCTCTGCTTCTTTTAGATACTATTTTAAATCTGTGACCTCGAGTCATCGACACACCCATCAGTGGAAACAGTTTTTCCCTTTCTAATCTATCAAATCCCCTCATGATTTTGAAAACCTCTATTAGGTCTCCTCGTAACCTTCTCTGCTCCAATGAGAATAATCCTCGCCTCTCTAGCCTTTCCTCATAATCAAGGTCCCTCATTCCTGGGATCATCCTCGTAAATCTCCTCTGCACCCTTTCCAATGCCTTAACATCCTTCCTATAGTATGGTGCCCAGAACTGGGCGCAGTATTCTAACTGAGGCCTAACCAGTGTTTTATATGGGTTAATCATAACCTCCTGACTCTTGTACTCTATGCCCCTATTTATAAAGCCTAGTATCCCATATGCCCTTTATACAGTTTTTTCTGCCTGTCCTGCCACCTTCAAGGATTCATTTACTTGAACCCCCAGATCTCTCTGTTCTTTCACCCCCCCCTTAAGATTGTATTACCAGCCTATATTGCCTCCCCTCATTCTTTCTACCAAAATGCATTACCTCGCATTTCTCCACATTGAAATTCACCTGCCATGTGTCTGCCTATTTTACCATTCTGTCTATGTCTTTCTGCAGTTGGCTACTATCCTTCTCACTGTTTACCACCCTACCTAACTTTGTGTCGTCTGCAAACTTGGAAATGGTACTCTTCCTAATCACCCTCTTTGTTTCTTTGCTTTGTATTTTAAATTGATGCTCTCTAATTTGTGAATCACTGGTCAGAGGTTTATAAGGAGCAACAATTTTTTATTGTACAGTATCTACTCACTTTGGAAACATTGGAAGGATGAAGGGCTGATTGAACTCCATTGAGATTCAAACACAGAAATAGGAGTGGGAAAAAAATCTATCCTACTGCAAATTATTTGGACATATTAATAACATTCCCTTATTTGGAAAGTGGTGTTACAAATGGTACAGGTTGTGAGTTGTTTTAAGGGAAAGGTATGCTGATTTTGATTTTCTGGAGACCTTACCACCCATTCGATTTTCTCAATCATGAAATGATGAAACTAGTGAGCAGCGTAAAATTGAGATCTGGTGAATAATAGAGATTTTGCAGTAACCTGAAGCCTTTGACTCGAGCAATAATAGGAGGTGCACAGAGCACTGCTAAAGCCAACTACTGGGATAGCTTCCAACAAAGTTACTTTTTCACACAATAATCTTTTAAAACTGATGCTTCACCCCCCCCCAATAGTTCTTAAGTTATCAAACCACATTCGTCCAAGTCGTCAAATCTACTCTTGCCTCTAAGGAATTCTCTCCACCACCCATTCATTCACATAATAGCTGTGGGGCATTGCTGTGTGCAAATTGGCTGCCACATTTGCCTGCAATACAAAATCTGGTGAAGCCCTTTGAGATATCTCAACAGTGATCAGGCATTCTATTAAATACGAGGATGATTATTATTACTCTACAGAACAAAAACTGAACTACACTTGGCTCGATGGTGACTGTACTCAGTAACTGCTGCAGGCTGGGCTGCCTTTATGCCCAACAACTCCAAACAGTCTAGTGGCTGAAAAACAGAATAAGTGGTCACGTGATGGTGGTGATTTCATTCTGAAATTGCCCTGAGCAGAGTTTCTGGCCTTGCGCAGTTAGTCAAATTTGCATTCAGTACAATACATTTTTAATGAAGCACTAAGGAGATTGTGTAATAGTGGAGAAAAAGCCAAAATCATAGAGAAGAATAGTGGATAAGGAGGGAATATAAGTTGAAGGTTAACCACATCATTTTTTTTCCAATCCTATTTCTGGGTTTGAATCTTGGTGGAGTTCATTCAGCCATTCAACCTTTCAAAGTTTTTAAAGTGAGTAGAGATTGTGCAATACAAATTTACATGTATATAGTTTCATCTCAGCAGGATGTCCCAAGGTTCCTGGACAGTTCTGACACTTTATGAAATGCTCTCCATTCTGTTGTAGTATCTATTTTCTGACAGTCCAAGCTGGTTGGCATTTTTTAACAATAAGTGCCAAACCAAATGAGCAATCATACTAAATGAAGAGCTCTTCTCTGTCTTGCAACTCCTAAAACAAGTGAATTCCATGTTAATTTCAAGAGGTATCAGCTAACGTAATGGGAGTAAAATGAGACTGAGTTTAACCTATGTCCTTTACCTGTAAATCTGCATTCTTAAATGTGTGCTCTATATGAGATCCAAGTATTTTTTGTTTATTATTTACCTTGGTATTTTGTCTTTCAGTATTCCTTTCTCGATTTCAGGTTCTAGTTTGCCCTGATCTACCTTTCCTTTGCCTCCACCTGCACTTAATTTTCAGCCCTTGAACTTATTTCTCTCTTAAAACCGTTTAATTTTTTTTCCTCTGAGGCCTAAGTCGAGATGTCACTCTTTGATTGTACTTTCGGTTATCTTTCCCCTTTTCTCTCCCCAAAGGACATATAGCATTGGTACTAATTCTTTGTTCTCTTGGATGAAGTGCAGTGAATTTCACACAAAGTAGCTTTTAACGCTTGTTGGCACTGATTGAATAATAACAATGGTTTTTCTTTGACGTTTTTAGTGGTTCAATGTCAGCAGCAATGTCTGAAAGACTTTCATTAACACAGACGAGCCTGTTAAACATTAACATAATACAGTTGCAGTACTTTTTAATACTGTCAATGAGCAATAAATGAGTGAAGCTGTTTTTTATTTATTTAATGGGTTTGCTCCACCACTTTTCCCGTGACAGCATCCATACGGCATCCCCTCCCCCCGCCCCCCCAGCTGATTGAACTGAGGTTAAGAAGGATGCTGTAGACATTTAGTGATGGTCAAAACACTTCTTAACAAAGAGATTCCTGAATAACCCAATTTAATCAGGTAACCCAAATGGAGGACCATTCATTGTGACGATGGCCAGATCTCCTTTTCTTATATAGCGTCAGAATTATCTTTTGTGTTAAACTTCTTAGATAAAAGGCATGATAAGGCATTAATAATAATAATAATCCTTGCATTTGATATAGCGCTTTTCACGTCGAGAGGACGTCCCAAAGCGCTTCACAGAACACACTGCAAAGTGAATTGACTGTATATTTGTGGGCGAACGCGGCAGCCAATTGCGCACAGCAATGTCCCACAAACAGTCGTAGATTGAAAATGACCAATTTATTATTGTTTTTTGTTTTTGGAGGGATTATTATTAGGCGTGTGGAGTAAGGAAACTTGCCCAAGGTTTCGCCCTGCCGGGAATTGAACTCAGGTCTCTCACTTGCAAAGCGAGTGCTCTAACCACTGAGCTACAGGACTCCACAAACGCAAGGATTATATCAAACGCAAGGATTATTATTATTATTATAAACAAGCATAGGTATTAGTTGGGCGGAGGAGAAAAGGAGACATATGTTTGTTAGATGTGGTCTTTAGATCACTATGGATCCTGCTATAGGGGCTTTAGCGAAAATGTGGGATCTGCACTGAGTATTCCAGCTCAGTGCAGGGTTTATGCTGGATTTCATGGTAATAATTGTATGGACTCTTTGCTTTCTTCATATGCTCTTGCAGCACACTTTACTTAATTCAGTGTATTTTATTTTGTATCTCATGTGGTATTGTCCGTACAGGATATTTGCAATTTTTGCTGGGAAAGTAAGGGAGTATAATTCTAACATTTGGAATTATATTTTCATTATTCTGCTTTGTACTTTTTCAAACTTTAATAACTTACTGAGTGAAAATCGTAAGGAATAGGCCTAATTCAGTAAGAACTTGTTGCACATCAGATTACTGAATAATAATAATAATCCATTATTATTTGTGCATTCGATATGTCAGGAGGATGAGTCAAAGTGCTTCACAGGGTTTACTGCAAAATGTAGTGACTTTATTTTGTACGCTAATATGTATTACTTTAAGGCACTGCCCTATTTGGATTGAATATAGTTTCAAAACAAGCTCAGACAATTTGAAAGAACAGTTCCTTCTTCGACTTGTTTAAGGGTTTTCTGTGTTTCAGGCAGTTTCATCCCCATTGCCAAGAGGCACGGGCACAGAACTGCCAGAATTTAGCATTGCAGCTGCATGTAACTGGCAGGTAGACAACAAGCTTCTTGTTGAGGCTGGTTTTCAAACATATGGAACTTTGATGTTTATTAAATTCAGCACTGACATATTTTGCTTTCAGCTCTTCTTTCTTCCTTCCTCTTCCTTTTCTCCTTGAAGAAATTTGCTTATCACCTTTTTGTGCCATTATTTGAAAGGTTCCTCCAAGTTGCATAGCCAGAGTTAAATACTAGAAAGGCTTTGTAGTGGAATGAATGTTAACTTAAACTAAGACTATCTCGGTGGACTAGATTAACCCAAGATCTTATAGTATCTTTTTACATGACTTGTGGTCTTCACTTTGCTAAATCACAGGCATTCACTGTGCGTCTATTTGGATACAATAAATTAGTAATTGCATAGAAGCCGATCCAAGTGGCGGATTGGCCAGCCTTTCTGGTACTGCAAGCTCTTGTCATTACCTTCAGTTTAATTTGAACTTTTACACTACTAATTTGATAAATGGTAGAATTCCCTTAGTACAAAACTAAGATCAAGATTAGGTTTCCGAATAATTGATCAGGATCACTGAAAATTGTAACGATAATTTTTTCCCCAATTGGTTCCTTGCAGGAAGAAGAGATGCCCGAGTTAGAAATAGATATTGATGACCTACTGGATGTAAGTCGTGATGAAGACCGAGCACTCAAATTACAGGTAATGTACCTTCACCTATTGTACATCACAAGGATGATGAGAATTGTCTCACTTTGAGAAAGACATGCAGCTGTAAGTCAATAGTCAAGACGTAGAACTATTGGGAATACATCTGAAACCTCTTTGCTTTCTATTGCAGTAGTGCCTGAGACCAAGAAAGACCAAGTCACCTTGAATTCTCCTTTTGGCAAATGCTTACAACTTTGTTATATTTCTAAGGAAGCAAGCACAACCGTTTGTTTTTTTCAGTTGGGACTAGCAGTGCAACATAGTTATCATAGTTATTTCTGCAGAAATGTCATGACTAGATTCCCCATAGAGAGATACCATGAAGAATGCACATCTGCACCACCTATTTCCTGGCCTCTTCATTCTAATAGTATTTTGCAAACGTGTAGCGGAGTTATTTGGTGTGTGAAGTATCTGTTTTTTTTCTTCCTTTCCCATTCGCTCCCCTTCTGATTACTAACTTCTATGACCAGAAGTGAAGAGGCAAAAGTATGATTGATTTTTTTTCACATCAGACAGTGGAAAGCCCAAGTGGTGAGATTTAATAGCGAGAATCTCGCAGGCAATGCTATGTTTACTTGTCTCCTCACTCCCTGTCTCTTAACCCAACTCACGCACATAAGGCTGTAGCCAACCACAGAGTTTGTGTCCGCTCAGTGTGAAGCTGTGCAGTATAAGTCCCCTACAAATTGAATTCAATATGTTGCTGCTATGGTCTGTAAACATGCGAAAGGGACATTTTTCTTCCGCTGGATCTAGTGATTTTCTGTGATTTGGGGATTTTTCTCTCTTGAAACATCTACTACACATAGCCCCAGATAAAATTTCACCCCATAATTTGCTTTCGTATTTGCTGTGAAACACATAGTCACTACACTTTATAGAGTAGCACTTTGAGAGGGTCCTCCCTATGTGAAAGGTGCTTTATCAAATGCAAGTATTATTGTTGTATAAATCTTTGCACCTTAGATGTTCAGGAATTATGAAATTAAACTCAATATTGCTTTAATGTTGCTATTGAATACCACAATAACACCAAACTTCACCCTTAGATTTATATTGTTCCTCTGACCAAGTGCTGTTTTGAAACATAATAGTAATGATCCTTGCATTTGATATAGCACCTTATTACTCCATTGAGATGTCTCAAAGCACGTCACAGAATATATTGTAAAGTGGATTGATTGTATTTTGTGGGTGAAAAAGAATTCGAAAGGCTATTTTCTAAAGATTACTCAAACAATTAGCTTGACTTTTGATCCCCTTCCCGTAAGATTTGCCAAGTTACTAACAGAAGTTTTTTTTCATATGACTTGTTTAAACTTAGATGTTTCAAAATTCGCTCAACTTCAAGGTTCTCATCTATAAATCCCTCCACACCCTCCCTATCTCTGTCAGCGAGTTCAGGCCTGGTCCACGGCCTTCTACCCACTCAGTAGCTGAGCATTTAGTTACTACGCTCCTAACCTCTGGATCGCTCTCCCTCTTCTCTGATTCGCCCTCTCTATCCATCTATAAATCCTGCTTGAAAGTCTACCTCTTTAATTGCACTTAGTCATCTCCCCCTTTTCCCTTATTTGGTGTCCAAACCCCATCCTTATGAAGTGTTCTTCTATGTCGAGGGCACTATATAAATGCAAATTGTTGTTTTAGTTGTTTAATGTTAAGCCTGAAAAGGCTTTGTAAATTTTGTACTGAGAATGAACTGGTTTCTGCAGCCCACTGACTTCTTTTCTTGCCTCACAGGAATCCCTTGTAGACTGTTACAAACCTACAGAGGTAAGTGATTCTCTTTCTGCTGCTTGTATCAAAGCCAGCTTGTGTTATCACTAATTAACTGGATTCCATGCAATATAAATGGCATCAAGCCAGTGAAAACCATCTCTGCCATGCAGACACATCGTGTCTGCTAGAATTACCCCTTGAGGGAGGAAATGATTGATTTTTTGATCTTTTCTGATATGAGCATATAATGTGTTTTTAAAGATTTTTTCCGTTATAAAAAAAATCCTTGCATATGATATCGCGCTTTTCCCGTTTTCTAGACATCACAAAGCACTTCACAGAATATACTGTAAAGTGAATTGACTTTATATTTGTGGGCGAAATGCGGCAGCCAATTGTATACAGCAGTGTCCCACAAACAGTCGTGGATTGAAGTGACCAATTTATAATTTTTTCTTGAGACATTATTATCAGGCGTGTGGAGTAAGGAATTTAGCCCTCACGGGAATCAAACCGAGGTGTCTCGCTTGTGAGGCGAGTGCTGTAACCACTGAGCTACAGGAATAAATTGTTTTACCAATTGTTCTTTTCTTCTGTAAACCTGCAGATAGAACATTGGCCAATTAGCCAAAAAAATTAAATCTAGCTTTTGCTTTTAATGGGTATTTCGCAGTCCAACTCTGAATTGTTATTATCATCCAACTTTGTAAAAGATTACCTGCAGGTAGGAGAGGGTCCAAAGCATTGCTGAGTATGCTGTTGTTCCTACCGTGTTTTTAATTTCGGTTTTAATTTTGTGCACAGCAAAGTCTCTCTCGTCGTCCAGCTTTTTTTTAATTAAAACTCTCAGTTGAAGCTGCAGGCTCGGTCACTGTTTTCTAATCCCCAGCATCAGATCACATTTCCTCCCCTGCATATGGCTCACAAATGTCAAAGAAATATGGAGAAAGCTAATAGCATGCTGGGCTTTATATACATTAACATAGAGTACAAAAGGAAAGCAACAATGCTACATTTGTGCAAATCATTGGTTCGGCCACAAAATGGAGTGCTGCATCCAGTTTTGAGCACTTAGCTTCACAAAGGCGTTAAATCCTTGGAGGAAGTGCAGAAGAGATTTACAAAAATGATTCTGGGGTGAAGGGCTACACTTATGAGGAGAGATTGGAGAGACTGTGTCTGTTTTCATTGGACTAGAGAAGGTTGAAGGGGGAACCTGATCGAGCTGACCAAAAATGTTTGGGGGTTTTGCTCTGATAAATGGGAGAAGTTATTTCCATTAATAGATAATATAACCTGTGTTTTTTCAGTTGAGTGGCAGTGCTTGAAGTTTCAATATATGGGGTTAAATTAGCGGCATTTTCTAATCTGTTCAATGTGATAATGAAATGCTGTAATGAACAATCACCCAGGCAGGAGAAAACCACGGACACGGTGCCTTAGCTTTTTGTATGCTGAAAGTGGGTTACAGGCTATTGTGAATATGTGTGAGTTGTGGTGTATGTGGTTGCTGGGAGGCCACAGTAAGTGATGTTTCTTCCTCCCCCCACTTTCCTTTTGGATAGTGGGCTGCAATTTTCTACATTTGCTAAAGGATTTATAAGTAGGGGCTGGTTCAGGGTAGATAACTGTGTCTCTGGCCAGCCCTTTGGAATGGCTGTAATGTTGATTTCAGTTTCCATTGAGCCACATTGCAGTCACAGGGTCAACCTGACAGGTGTCTGGGGTGCTACAATCTGTCATTCACAAAACTGCCTTAAATCTAACAGTAGTTTGTGTGGGGAAGATCAATAGAAATAGAAAATCCTGCTTGTAATAGTCTTGGGTCTGGATTCTGGGATGCAAATATGCAGGTTTCTCAATTAATTTTATTTCCTTATTAAAATTGAAACTTATGCCAACAATCTACCCTAAAAATTGGTTATTCACTGTTCAACTGCACTTATGACATTGCTCTGTGCAAATTGACTGCCACGTTCACCTAAAAAAAATCATCACTACGCTTTACAGTGAATCCTGCGAAGATTTTGAGAACCTCCTGCTGACATGACTTTATTGAATCCAAGTATTATAGTGGGTATATCTATTGTTTAGTAGTTGATGAATATACAACAACTTGCATTTATATAGTGCCCCTCACACAAGGTAGCACCCCAGAGCGCTTGAATAGATATATGAATTCTGTGTATAAATGTCCTGCCCTTGATAAGGTTTTATAATCTAGTTACTGATGCTGAAAGAAGTGGAAATTTTCAAATCTGCTCTCTTCACTCAAAAGGTCTATTTGATATTACATACAGTTTCTTATTTCAGAGAACAGAAGCTCTAGCTTACAAAGTATCAAAGCATGTGTGGGCAGAAATTCCACTGCAGTCTAGATTTACTCTATTTCTGTAGCACTTCAGAGTTTGGCAAATTCTTAATTGTCTTTATTTTGAAGCTGACTTTTTTCGAAGTTCGTTTAAGAAAATACTTATAGAAAATGGGCTTTAAAGTTGACACTGAATTCAACAATTTGCCAAATTCTGGATGCTCTAAAATGCTACGTAAATAGAGTAAATCTAGACCCAACTGGAATTTCTCTCCAGCAGTCTGTTAACTCAGCCTTTGCAATGAATGTCCATGAATAGAATAATGCTTTTCTGACTAATGATTGACTTACTTATATTGCTTTAATGCTAGAACAGCTGAAGCGAAGTTAAGACCTCAGTGCAGTTGGTACTATAGATTGGAAAACCTTAGATTTTTCCCTCGGGTTAACTGAAACGAGCGGCTGCAAAACCCTAAGCTGCTATTAACTTGTGGAGCCAGAGTGACAAGGAGCTGACAGCTTTTTTCTAAGCATGTGCAGAACATATAGAGAGTATATTGTCACACTCCAAGTTTTATGAGTGAGAACTTGTGTGGCGGATTTCCCCATCATCTAATACTGAAATAGTGGTTACAGACCAGGACCTGTACCTGAATATCAGGCAACTTTGCTAAGAAGGCGTTGGAAGATCAGACACCAAAAGGGTTCAGAGATGTTTGGGGCTTGGATGCTTGACCACTGTCATCATGGTTTGTCAACTGCAGCAGGCTTAACTCTGCCAGCAATGCAACATAAACACAATTTAATAATTTTCCAACAATAGGTCACAAGGCGGCAGCCAGTTTGCACGCCGTAATGTCCCACCCGCAGCTGTGTAGTGGATGACTAATTTGATTTGGGAGATTGTTGGCCAGGGCACCGGTAAAAGCTTCCTTTTCTTTTCAAACAGTATCATAGGATCTTTAACAGACAGACAGGACTGCAGTTTAACGTCTCATCATCTGAAAGGCGGCACCTCCAACAATGTAGCTTTCCCCCAGCACTACATTGGTGTGTCAGCCTACACTGTGAGTTCAAAGCCACGGTCTTGAACCCATGACCTTCTATCTCTGAGGGAAGAGAACAACCAACTGAGACAGGCTGACTCACAATGTATTATAGCAAATGAAGTTGTTGCTTGTCACAGACAGAATGTATTTAGGTACCAGTTTATAGTTCCATGTATTCTCCGCACAGACTCAAAAATAGATTTTAAAGTGCAACATTTTACAGATGCCCAGTTGAGCATTCTTTACATACATCACGCCTGGTTTAATCCAGTGAGATCTTTTTCCCCACCCACAAGGCATGCATTAAATCACGATAGTGTATAGGAACGAGTGCGGTAGTGAAGAGATTAGCAGTTCTTGTCCACTGCAGCAAGGGTTTAAGTGTCTAGACTTGCTATAACACAGCCTGTTGCTGAAGAAATAGCCAGCCAGCTTTCATTAAGATTTTCATCCCTGTACAATAATCTGGTGAGCTAGTCCATCATCCATTATTTGAGTCGTTGCAAAACACTCAGCGGTAAAATTTTAGGGGAGCGCATTATCTTAACAGGCTGACAGTGAAAGTTACTAAATGTATTTACTTGGAAAGTAATTTTATGAATCTGTGTGGTTAAAAATCCACGTCTTCCTGCATTTAGGAATATAAATACAATATTGCTATTGTCTTTTTTTTGATGTTGTGCTTCTATCTCTTATTACCTTGATTTAGCCAATTGCTAACTTCTGCAGCTATCCCAAGTTGTCTTGTCGGAGCTTGCTAATTTTCAGATTATTGATAAATGATAAAGCTTCAATAGGCATAGACAACATGCTCTCATTTACAGATATTTTCCCTGGTAAACTGAGTTTAATGTGCCTTGTTATGACTGATGGTGGTGGCTGCATGTTTGAAAGGCAGCTGTGGTAGCTCACAAACCGCAGGCACAGAAGTCTTGGCAGTACCAATAGTGGCCGACTGCCAAGCACATTGCAAACACATCCTGCAGGATGGTGACCTATTTGTGCATATGACGATGCACATGTACAGTTGTGCAGTGTGATAATTCATTATATCACATGCTGTTATTAATTTATTATTTATATACCGATTACTATTGTTAATTATCTACCGATTTGCATCCTACTGAACTGGAGGATTATATGGAGCTTTTCACGAGGAGATGCAGTGGGTGGGATAAAGTTCATATAACAGTGGGTTGTGTGTGAGCCATTGGAGTTTTCTCATTCCTCGCTTTATATTCTTACAGTTCAAGTAATAAAGACAAAGCAAAGCCTATTGTACAGTAGTTTGCACAGACAGTGCAGAATGCTGTAAATGCATTCCACGATTTGCAGGTGGAAAGCTGCATTGAAGGATTTAGCAATTTTGCAATTTCTAGAAATGTGCATTTGATCAGAAGCAGCTCAAGCCAAATTAGCTTTTAAGAATTGTGGAGATTTGTCATGACAGGAAAGGAGATTTGAATTACAGATTGTTATCAGGTCATGGGTTTAAAGCAACCCTTCCAAGCAGTTCTGGTGAAGACAGATTGTCGTTTCCATAATCCCACAGGAGCAGGATTAATCTGATTTAGAATCGAGCTCCATGGAGTTGGTCAAAGAGCTTTGAAATCCAAAGTTTATTCACCTATTGAACATAAGGCGTTTGGGGAAGTACAAATGAAATGATCGGTGAATCACAGATCTGCAGTGGC